GTCCCTGTGCATGAGTTGCCAGTGTAATTTCTTCCTTTGTTGATAGAATCATAGAATAGTTAGGGTTGGAAAGGACCTCAAGATCATCTAGTTCCAACCCCCCTCCCATGGGCAGGGGCACCTCACAGTAAACCATGTCACCCAAGGCTCTGTCCAACCTGGACTTGAACACTGCCAGAGATGGAGCATTCACAACTTCCCTGGGTATCTTATTCCAGTGCCTCATCACCCTTACAGTAAAAATTTCTTCCTTATAGCCAATCTAAACTTCCCCTGTTTAAGTTTTAACCCATTACCCCTTGTCCTGTCACTACAGTTCCTGATGAAGAGTCCCTCCCCATCATCCTTGTAGGCCCCCTTCAGGTACTGGAAGGCTGCTATGAAGTCTCCACACAGCCTTCTCTTCTCTAGGCTGAACAGGAGGTGCTCCAGTCCCCTGATCATCCTCGTGGCCCTCCTCTGGACTCGTTCTAACAGTTCCATGTCCTTTTTATGTTGAGGACACCAGAACTGCACACAATACTCCAGGTGAGGTCTCACGAGGGCAGAGGGGCAGGATCACCTCCTTCAACCTGCTGCTCACGCAGCTTCCCTCCCCTCTCCCAGCAAAATAAGCAATGCCATGCTCATGTCCTCATGCATGAGCTTGGTCTGTTCAGAGTGCAGGAGAGGTTATTTACGTTCGTTAGATCTTTGGATGAATTGTCAGGACAGAAGAAGCAATGACTAATCTCTGTGTGGCTTTTCTTCTGCATTAATCATAGAATCAACTTGGTTGGAAAAGACCTTTAAGATCATCAAGTCCAGCCGTTACCCCAGGACTGCCAAGTCTCCCACTTTAGTTATCGTGTTAACTGCAAATCAGATGCCACCATTTTTCTTTCACCCATTTTGCACAGTGCAGAGACTATTGCTAGGTCACTGTGGGTGGGTCCTTGTGCTGTACCGTACTGTGAGTTACTGCTGTCACCTAAAATCTGGTTATGAGAAGTTATGATCCACAGCATTAGGGAGGCAGGATGAAATGCAGCCTGCAGGCTGTCACTGCAGCTTTGCTCCTCAGAGCCATTTGCCAGCTTTCCATCTGGGTTGTGAAGTTACAGAAGGGGATTCAGAGACTTCCCACTTCCAGTCTTCAATGGCTCTTGCATCCCAGAAGTCTTTCCCAGCAGTCTGGATTTTCACTTTGTGGCCCGTGTTTAAACCTAACATCTGCGGAGCAACTCCCTTTGGCTTTCTGCAGTTTCTGAAGGGCCAAGTATTGCTGTAGGGAGGTCCTCAAACAACTCCCACCACCAAATTGGTGCCAGATACTTGTTCTCAAGCAGCTTGTTCCCACTTTGCTGCTGATAGTGCTGTACACATTTGTGTTTCTTAGTTTTCACTTGCAAGCTGATGCTTGATGTCCTAGTCATTTCAGTTATTTGCTTGTGTTCTAGTGTGTCTTTGCTTGGGGTTATTTTTCTTACTGGTATTAGGGTGTATTATTCTGCCTAGGCAAGATTCTTTTTCTTTGCCATGGATAATCAGTTCTGCCCTCAAGAGAAAGGGGCTCAAACAGCCTTTAACATTGGGCCTACCTTCCATTTAGAAATGGATGATTTCTTCCCCATTCTTTTCAAACCTCAAAAAAGATGCAAGTGTGCCCAAAAGAGAAGGGCGTTCCCTGCCTCTTAGCCAAAAATAAGAGAAAGGGGTGGTGAACTTTCTCCTGTGCCTGTACCTGATTCGTGGTCCATATTCTTATGACATGAATTTGACCATAGCCCCTTAGTCTGATGTTTTCTAGCTGGTTCTTATCTTTCTTCTCTGTGCCTTGCTTTGGTCCTCTAAGTAACTCATCAGATGCACTCCGCTCTACCTGTTGATTACAGAGAGGGCTGGCAGTAGCACTTAGGAGAAAAGAATTAAAATAGGACTGTTTGGGTTTTTTTCCTTCATCTTGTTCAACTTTGTGAGGGTCTGAAAGATCCAGGAGGTGCTAGGAGAGTTAGCTAAACGTGAAAGAGAGCAAAATCAAGAAGCCAAACTTATAATCCTGCAGGGATGCTATTCCCATAATGTGTAGAAATACCTTTGTGCAGGTTGTTAGCTGCTGGGGCAGCACTTAGGCATGTGGGATAACCTGATTAGAGTATCAAAGAAAACCCTGTTAGCTCCACAGGCCAAATCCTGCCTTAGAGCAACCTGAGGTCAAATGGGTGTGAATCAAGGAAGCTTTCCCTTTGGCATCTTCTGGTAACACCTTGAAGGGTCTGAACCAGGGCTCTAGCAGGGGAAGAGGCTTAAGCAAATATGCTTCCAGACAGGGAGTGAACTGAAGTCTGAAGCTAATGACTTTGTTTTTCTTCACTGGTACAGTCTTAGAAGGATGAAAAGAATAAATTTCTTAGGTCTGATTTTCTGGTTGTATGGAAGGTTTAATCAGTAGTTGGTTAATTTAAAATGCTTGTCTTGGCTGCAGGGATGTCAAACAGTACAGCTGAGCTGAGATTTGGGAGCAGAAGACATATGTTTTCTGAAGGCATAATCCAGAAGCATGATTACCTGCTCCCCTGGTCACGGCAAAACTCCCACCAAAGTCAGCATTAACACAAGGTATCAGACAAGATGATTGTCATGATTCCTTGTGGTCATAAACTGTGTGTCCGAAATGTGTGAGTAGGAGTTGTATCAAATCCTTTGCAGGGTAGATTACAGCTGCAGGTCTCTGCTGTGTCCATGGCACCAGATAGGCTGTGCTCAGTATTACTGTCTACAGCGCTGTTACATGGGCTGCAGGGGGTACCTGCTTAGCAGATCAGCCCCAACATGCAGGTAAGCCATGAAACTCATGGCCATGTTGAGGGTGCTCGATGTTTATTAGAATTCAAAAAGCAATTGAGAAAGTTCATGGGAGAAACATTAACTTGAGGCTAAATATGGAGAAGCCAAGTTCTGGCTCAGGAAGTCAGTAAGCCAGAAATTGCTGGAGGCTGGAAGCATATCCTCAGGAATTGCTGTGTTTTGCTTATTCTGTTCTCATAGTTTGGCCTCTGTTGTTGGCAATTGTTGGAAATGAAGCAAGCGGTGACTTGGTGAGGCAAATGCTCCATACCTACACATATTCAGAAGATGTCAATAGCAAATGCCTTACACCATCTTCTGTCAGTATCTGCCAGTATGCTGCATTTCTTCCTTGGCAATATAGAAAACAGCATGGATGCAGACTGAGATGATGTGATCTGCTTATGCAAAGCAAAATGGTAAATTTGCTAGGTTATTTCTCCAAGGAGAAAATCATTGACCTTGCTTTTCCTGGCATACCAGCTACTGTTATAATGATGATGATGGTGACAGCAACCAGACAGAAAGGCCAGCAATAATTCTTTCCTGCCCATTATTACAAGGCATAAAGCAAAATCCAGTCTGAAACCAATGCTAGTCTATCTGTGCTCCCTTTCCAAATCTGTGAGGCAATTCTTAAATGGGTTGATTTTAGGACTTTTCATACTGACCTTTCCAAAAACAGTCCTTTTGAACTTCTGATATGAACCTATGTATTTTATGTTTGTGTCTTATTAGTGATTTGCAGCCTAGAGATAACGTCCGATAGCAAATATGTGAGTGTAGAAGTAACCTCTCTGAGCTCCTGGTGACTCATCTCCTGACAATACATTCTGGCTGCACATGTAAGGTCTGGACCTTGCCCCTGAGAATATTGGCTCAAAGAAGAAATAACAATGCGGTCAGTCAAAGCACTACTTTCCCTGGGAATTTTGCTGCATGAGGAAGCAGAAGAACTTTAGCCTCCTGTGTTTGTCAACATGAACTGCCTTCCAGCAGCTTTTTATATTTCTGGCCCATTAGATTTTTTTTCCTTTCCTTCCCTCCCCCCTCCTTATTTCTGTCTATCTTAATCGTAATCAATATTGTAATCATGGACTTTCTGTCTCATCAAAGATTCAAGCACTGGTTGATAATATTATTTGATAACTTCAGATGCACCAAGCAGGAGCAGCAGGTGAAGTTTGCTTTCCTAAAGTCCAGTGAAATGACTGAAATCATGGCCACAGATTTATTGTTTGCATCTATGTGGGTTGCACCTTCCATTCATTTAATGTGGCTTTAAGGTGCTTTGTTTGAAAGGGTAGATTGCACAGTTGGTGTCAGGAGGGCTGGTGCGGCTCACAGACAACCATCTGAAGCAAAATTATCTTGGATTTTCTGTAATTAACTGCAAGGGTGAGTGAGGCTTGAAATTGTATGAATCATTCAGTGGATCCCACTTGAAAGGTGCAGGGGTTTTTGGCTTCAGCATTCCAGGAGCAGGCCAATGTGTAAAACCTGTGCAGCAAGGATCATGGCCTTAGAGCTGGCATTTCACAGCCATTATCTGACACATAGTGGCCCAGAGATAAATGAACAGTTTAAGTCATCCTGAACTCCTGTCCTTGCGATGCTTTCATTGCAGACACTGCTTTATTCTCTCCTCATACTCAATAGTAGTCTCTGTGGTGGGAGAGGAAGATCAAGATTTTCTTACAAGGCAGATAAGGATCCTTTATGGGAGCTGTATTGGCAGAGCAGTTAGGGGGTCTCTGCGTAGCCCCAGGAGTTCGGCAGCTTTGCACTGTGGAGGTTGTCTCTAGCCAACTCGGCTGCAAAAGGTCATTCAGACTGGGCAGTCCTGAGGCAAAACCCCAGGAGTGCATGCTGCATAACTCCTTCAGGTTCTCTTGGCTACAGAAGCTGTAATGGCTTACATACACATACCTGATGGGCCATCTCTGATCAGTTATTAGAGCTGCTGAGAGAAGGCTCTCTTTCTGTTCTCACACTATTCTTAAGGTTTGACCCAGGCACCATGGTGTTACCATACTCTTTGTTGACTATACTGCACTTATTTAAAAATGAAAGTACCTAAATCTTCCAGGTAGACCAGCAGCAACCTCCAGCTGACCTTTGTAAATGTTGTGCTTAGATGGTGCTCACGTCTGCTGTGTACATTTTGTTTGCAGAACACACTGGAGCAATGCAGTGTCTGTGCAAAGCCCATCATGGAAAGGATTCTCCGAGCCACTGGGAAGGCCTATCATCCCCACTGCTTCACCTGCGTGATGTGCCATCGCAGCCTGGATGGGATTCCCTTCACCGTGGACGCCGGTGGGAACATCCACTGCATCGAGGATTTCCATAAGTATGGCTTATTGTCTTTCTCTCCCTAAAAATCCTCCTTTTCTTAGTCCGAGTGTCCAAAAAGATCTAAACCCTCTGCCACTTTATCCCAAGGCTCTTAAATAGTAGGCAGAGCTTTGTTCCAAGCAGGCACACAATGGCATACAAGATTAACTGGTTACGGATGCTGCTTGATCTCTGTTTTGCTAAGGTCTAGATTTCTGGATAAACTTCTGTGTTCCTCCATTTTAACTGCTATGCATTCCCCCTGCCATCTCATGCCCTTAGCATGTGCACATTTCTCCTTACTGCCTGTACCTGCGTTTCCACATAGGCGTCTTCCTGCTTCTTCCACAAAGCAATTAAGAGAGATCCTGTGCTGTTGCACTCTGCAGGTGTTTTCTTACTGGCTAGAGGGATCTAGGTGGCCACAGGATGCTCACAGCTCCTTTTCTTTCCAGTTGCTAATTAGCTTTTTTAAGCTGCTAAAAATACAGCCCTGGTAATAATTTATAGTGAAACTGCTATTTAAAGTAAGTTGAAAGGTATAGTTGCAAGTAGTTTCTGTCACTGCCATGCTACCACCCCCATCATCACGACTAATCTAGGGAAGACAGGTAGATATAATCAGCACAAATGTTTCCCCTGTATGGAAAAGACAGACACATTACACCCCTCAATTAAAAAAGGAAATCAATACTGACAAATGTGAGTTTACATCTCAACCATTTATCTCTTAATTTCTAAGGGGATAGATTTAATTAGAGCCTTATGACATCAATGTGTGGGCCTGAAAGCTCAAAGAAGCAGGCTGACTTGACAGAAAGGGAAGCAGCCACAATCAACTGGCATGTTAAAATCCAACATGAGGATGTTCCCTGTAGCTAACATAGGCTGGGTTAATTGGCAGTTGCTGTGTTGTCTTCTTTTCTGTTCCAGCAGTTGTGTGTAAGGTAAAATTTGGTCCTGAACACAGGGCCAACGGAAGGTTTACATGCCACTCAGGTTCCTGAAAGATTTCCCTCACACCCTCTTAAAACTGGGAGACTGCTCCTTCCCCAAGTCCCACAGGCCAAGGGCTTACATGCAGGTTGGAAGCAGTTGAAGTCTTCTGGCAGTGACTGGATGTGGACCTCAGAGCTCTAAGAATGGGAAGTAGGAGGCTGTCAATCCAAGGAAAGAGCATAAAATCATTGAGTGAAAGACTGAGGGAAGATACGGGAATAGCACAAGACCTAATGTGGCACTCAGAATGTCTTTGGCCAGCCACGTGTTTAGCGGCGCTTCATCCAGCCCAGTTTTAATTAATTAAGAATGACACATCCTCCTGGTCTGGAGGTTGGGTGCTGTACATCTTGTACAGCCTCTTGATAACAAAACTATAGCTGATGCTTACACTGTCACTTAGCTGAACTAAGGCCCTGTAGTAGCACATCCACATCGCCTGGTATCTGCAGGAGTCATCTCAGGGTCCTGGGAATTAATATTTGGCTCATCATTACCCACAGTGGCCTGGACAAAGAAATTTTGAAGCATTTTTAAGCACCATATTTGAGCTAAATGGCAGAAGGAAGCGCCCGCATGAAGCAGCATATAATTAACTGCGATTACAGCTCCAGTCATATATCCATTTAAGTTATTTTTCAGAGTGCTCGCTATAGCCACTGTTTAATTCATTTTTTCGTTAGATCGCAGCTACCCAGACATCTTTCATCTGCTGACAGGGAAATTAATATTTTTCTTTATTCCTAGTACAGATAGATTTTTTTTTTCTTTTTCTTTTCTAAGCTAGTTAATTTTGAGGTGGTTCATGTGACAGGCTAGGTGGCAGAGTCAATCTTGCCTAGGCATTTCAAAAGAGAAGGGTCTTTGATCTCCTTGTGTTGTGACGTTTGCCATAAGCACTGCCCTCTGCTGCTCCATAGCTCATGACCCCAGCACTCATTACATGGGAGCAGATTTTGTAGGTATGCAGTTCTTCTTTTGTGAGCGGAATTTGCAGCCAGGGGTTGGTACCCTTAGGTCTTGAGCAAGATAATAATTTGCCACAGGCTAAATGTTCCCAAGCATCCCCACCTGCCTAGGAGCAGAGATGACCGCATCTCATGGGCAACTGGGGGGAGAGCGAAACCACAGCTAATATAGAACATACGTGAATTGCACAAAAGGTCAAATGGTGGGCAGTATAAGGGGGAAAAGTCTATGCTCCCACTGATCTCTGAGTTGACCCCAATTTAAGGCAGTTCCTTCACACCGTGTCACTATACAACTCTGACTCAGGCTCATTGTGAACAGAGAGTGTTGGTGTCTCTGCACCCAGACCTGCTCCCTTTAAAGCCCAGGCAACCCACTAATGGATATCCGAGAGTTGGTTTTATCTAGAAAGCGCACCTAGTCAGAATTGCCCTGGTCCTTCTTGTTTGAGGGTGAGCACAGCCAGGAGTGTGCTGCTGGGTGCATAAGTGGGTAAGAAGAGTCCTTCCTATCTTCTTTCCAATAGGCAGCTGTGCAAAGCTACAAACAGACGTATGTTTATACACGTGTGTGTGTTTCTACAAATGCACATGTTTCTGCCTTGCTGGTGCAGTTAAGAAAAACTTCTGCTCTGAGTTTGAGGACGACTGTGTCTTATCTTCTTTCTTCAGGAAATTTGCACCGAGGTGTTCAGTGTGTAAGGAGCCCATCATGCCAGCCCCAGGACAAGAGGAGACTGTACGCATTGTTGCCTTGGATCGTGACTTCCATGTCCAGTGCTACCGATGTGAGGTTAGTATTCTAATCACGTGAAGGACAGAAAGCAAAGGTTGGATTAATTTCATCACTGCCTCATATTATACACACAGTAGGCATACCCTATTGTAACAGTGGCTCTACAATCAAATTACTTCATTGACTTCAGCATACAAGGAATTTTTCCTCATTTATATCAGTGCAAATGAGAAGAAAATCAGGTCCCTTGTTTATAGCAGGTTCATTAGGAGAGCAAGAGAATGTGACTCAGGTAATTAGGGCTTAATATTGGAGAACTTCATAAATTATAGCTTGGACACAAAAGTTGCTCTTGTTTAAGTTCTTAAAATGAAAGCTAATGCATGTTAGAATTTGAGCAAGATTGTACAGGAAACTCAACATATGGCTCTGGCTTGAAGAATTTTAATGGACACATAAACATGATCATTCTTGTTTTGTGTAGTGCTTTTTCTGCTACTTTCCTGTTCAGTTTCATTACGCACTTCATATAATTTTGATGGTAAGAATCTGAAGACTGAGAATAAAAATCACCTTCAAGCAATTAACATGTGGGAACAGCTGTGTTAGGGAACCTTCAAGAATTCTTCAATGCAAGTATTATTTGTTGGATAATACATCAGCCAGATGGCAGGCTGAGAAAATGAGACCAAATGTATTTCTTATGACAGTTGCAGGTTTTAATAACTAACTAGAAAGAATGATGGACCAAGGCTTAAAAGTCCAGGGTGAAACTTAAGGCATCTGGTTCACTTCTTAGTCTGACCTTGGCTACATGACAGCCCATTACTTAGCCCAGTTTTTTAATGGTGCTAGGGCATTCCTACACTGAATTTTGTAGAGCCTAATTCATGATACAGCGTGTGCCTATGCTGGCTGCTGAGATACCTAGGCTTCATGCAAATGAATGTCAGAAGTAAATGCACTGGAGAGCCCAGGATACACTCAGTCTTGATCTCCACATGCCTCAGCTATCTCAAAAGGAATAATAATGCTGTTCCTCTTTCTACCACTTGCTTGCCAGGTATATTTACAAACACAGGTTTATGATGAAAAAGTATGGCCTCTAAGCAAGCCATAATCCTGTCACCACAACTCTGTCAGCAGTCTTGGGTCAAGTGGTTGCCTGATCACACAGTGAGGGATAATTCCCAGCTTTCCCTGCAGCTATACTTAGCTTTATGTACTTAGGGGCTGAGGTCTCTGGAGCAGATTTTGGGCCTTTTAGTGGGGTTTCTGTGTCCCTGTCTCAGTGACATCCTTCTTTCAGCCACAACCTTTTGGGACAATTGTAATACGAACACAGGTGACACTTCTGGTAGGGGAGACAGGCAGGGAGCTTGCTTAGCTGTCACACCTGCAATAGAGGCTATAGCTTTATGGCATTATCTCTTCCAGGGGAGATTACCTGCAGTCAGGTGTTGGTACTGAACTTCATTCCCCGTGATGCTTCTTTTTATCCCTTTTTTGCATTAATAAACATGTGCTTAAGTTTTATGTTTTCGCCAATGTTAAAGACTTTTCCTCCCTCAGCAATGTGAAGGGAATAATCTCCTTTTATTTTCAATGGGATTAAATTCAGAAGAGACCTTGGGAACCCATCTTCTCTGCAGCATTCTTTCTTATCAAGAAGGGGTTTAATCATGAAAGACATCACGTACCTCAGCTTCGTGCTTTATGCTGACGCAGGCTAGATCCTCTTACAAGGTGGAGAGTGAGGAGAGACTTTCGTTGACTAATAGATTCCTTGCTTAATGTTGTTATTTTTGCTTATTTACTTTGCTTTTTTTACTTTGTTTGCTTATGTCCTAGGACTGTGGTGGCCTTCTGTCTGAAGGGGACAATCAGGGCTGTTATCCTCTGGATGGGCACATCCTTTGCAAGACCTGCAACTCTGCTCGGATCCAGGCTCTGACGGCCAAGGCCAGCACTGATCTCTGAGTATCAACTGTGACCCTTCCCCAGGATGCCTGTTAGGGGATATTGCACAAGCTTTGCATGATTTCTTTCCAGCCTAGGGTCTGAATCTCTGTTTTAAAAAAAAAAAAAAAAAAAAGAAAGAAAAAAAAAAAGTAAAACTGGAAGGCCTTGGAACAAGAGGGCAGTTTGTGAGGCCATGTTCAGACTGCCCATGACAGGCACCTAACTTAGACATGACTTTTCAGGACTGAGTCAGAGCACCTGCTGTCTCTGCAGCTGATGGAGATAAGTGGTCACAGCACCTGAGTTATCTGCCTGTAGGAGGCCTGAACATGGTCCTAACTTTATTTCTGTATTTGATTCCTGTCTCCTAAGTACATGAAGGTAGGTGAAAAATGGCTGAGCTAGTTCTTCCAACTTATTTGAGAACCTGACTAGCTGTCACTGAATTTCATGGGTTGACTTTAAGTCATCAGTGAAGTAGCTCCCCTGCCCTTGAAGATGTGAGAGCAATCTTGGCACTCCTCTCATCACAACACAAACAGTGTAACTTCAACTGTACTGCACCTAAGAGTGTAGGCGTGACCTTGTATCCTTTGAACACAGATCTGTTACCTATATCTTTCTTAGGCCCTTACTTGTCTCCATTCCCTTCCAGTTTGATAGGATTTTTTCTTTTTCTTATGAAATTATATTTTACTATTGCATAAATTTATCCAGTAATGATGCTTCCAATTCATTATGTATGAGCAATCACAGAAAGAAGTGAGCTTGCACACACTACACACCACACACTACACACCACACACTACACACACACACCCCCATGTGCTTTTAATTTACCAGAGGTGGAAGCCAATCATGTCTGTTAAGAAAGTGTTTTAAGGATGTGGAGCTGGAAACACATTTTTAAATTCCCAGTGGTTTAAAAAAAAACTACAACACAAAAACCAAAAAAAGACTACATAGAAATGCAGTGCAAAGCCTTGCTCAAAAGAATCTTCAGCCAATCTCACACCCCATTCTAGTGGGGCCACTGGTGGTGTTGGTTTCTAGATAGACATATAAGCAACAGAGTCTTGTTCGATCTCCTGTTTATTGCGGTGGGAAGACTTTCCTTCAACTGTAACAGGTATTGAATCAGGCCTTGGGATATACATTTCTCTTATGTTAATACAGATGATTTAGAGTTCTTATAAAAAAATTATCTTATTTCGACAACAGCAAAAAGATTCTCCTAAATACATGCTGTTGTTTAGTTTTTATGTTACAAAGGCTAAAGAAGGTATTAAACCCTTCTCTATGCCATTCCGAAAAGCAACCTTTTTTTTTATCCTCTTTCATTTTCATCCCAGCCACTTGTAACTTCTCTCTGGTGAGATGTCATTGCATTAGCTTGCTGGGCCAGCAGCAGCATTTTCATCTTCAGAATTAATACATAAGTCAAGGTAAAGCTAGGCACACATAATCTTTTTTTCTCACGTTGGGTTGGTGGTGGTTTTGGGGTGGTTGTTTTTTGGGAGTTGTTTTTTTAATTAAAAAAAAAATAGGAATCCACAGCAGTCTGAGCAGCTATAATATTCTTGTTCATGAAACCCATAATAACTAAGGTGCAAATTACATAGGGAGTAATTTTCATATCACTGAATTGACATTAAAATCTTATTTGCAGATGTAATCAAAGAAAATACCTTTCTTTGCACTTAACAAATCAAGAAGCAGAACTGAATGTGTTTCAGGCTGATTGACCATATAGGTGACAAACTGGCACTTTTCAAGAGTAAGTTATAACTTTTTTCATGCATCCACTGAAAAACAATAAGAATGTGCTTTTATCTTTATTGTCTGTAACAGAAGCCTTATGCAATTATACTCACCAATGCTGAAAAGTTAGATGAGCCAGACCAATTGGAAACAAAGGGAAAAATTCAGATACTCACTGCAGCTCATGCAAATGGTGCATTTCCTTTCAGTTTAGTACTAACCTTTATGGAAGAGCTGTGAAATTTAATAGCTTTAGCTGTATACAGTAAATTCAAATACAGAAATACCAGCCTGAATTCTCTGCTCCTTACATGGTTTATATGTTGGCAGACTCCACCAGTGTCAGGGAAGTTTCCCAAAATTCCCAGCTCAGAATGAATCCTTCTTTGTAGAAGGGTGGCATCATTAAGAAAAAGAAATCGTTCTCCAACACAGTGGCTGTGCTGAAGCAGTTTTGCCTTTTTATACTACATTTCTACGTGGCCTTCAACAGTTTTACTGCCTCAGACACAAACAAATTTTTTTGCACCATGACTCCTGCCAGGTTCCATCTGGGCTCCTGCTCCCTGAACCATGGCACGTAAGGTACTTCTGAGCTCACTTCTTTCTTTACGTGCAGTCTGCACCACCACCCATCAAAAAACACTCAAAACTATTGAGCAAACCCAGTGTTAACTAGCCATACAAAACCATGGGAGGTCAGAGATGGGATTGCTAACACCATTATATATCCTTGCAGAGGATTTTACATCTCTGCAAGCACAGGGGATGATGTGATGCTCTTTGGTGCAGAATAAGTTATTCATCAGGCAGCAAACGTAGATCTGATCTTCCTTACTCTTGTTAGTGTTAAATCAATTGGCTGATGAGACTGTCCTGAATAACACTGGGGTAGTTGATGGAAACAAGTTATTGTGCCTTCCTGCAGAATGTGGTTGAGACTAAGGAAGACCAAAGTCCAGAGCCTCAGGGCTTTTTCTGCCCCTGCCTTAGGAGGAGCAAGTCATATGGCTTCTTGTCTTCTGCCCTCTGCATGAGAGGGCTTCTTTCCAACTTCCCAGGGATGTTATGGGAATTAGTCACAGATTGGCCCAACCTACTGATTTTTTGGAGTTCTGTCTTGTTGTTCCAGAAAAGTTTGCTGGTATGTAGGTTTGGGCTTCCAGCCCATTTCAAAGCTAAGGGCTAGCCAGGAGATCTAGATCTGAATCCTCTATTATTAGGGTGCTGAGGTGAGTTGGGTTGGCATGCAGGGAGGTGAGAGCAAGAGTTTTTGAGCATTAAATACTTCATGGATGGAAGATGCTTGACAAAGATTGAGCAGTGTTGATATTTGAGGTAGTGTGGCTAATTTCTAGACCTGACTGATCTGGGTAAAGGTATAATCGTGCTTTTGTTTTCACCCCTGAAACACCAAAGCCATCTGCCTGTTGGATGGAGGGAGTGTCCAAAACACTCCTCTTTATTTTCTGTAGTGCATGTGGTTTTAGCTTCTAAAATTGCTATAAATATATTTGGAAGATATTGCATAAATGTATATACATCACAGAGGCTCTCATCACCCACATGTGTGTGGAAAACTCCCCTCTGATGCTTCAGGATTTACTTAGGAAATGTTGGTGGACTTATCTCAATTGCACTTCAATTAAGAACCACTGGGATATTGCTTCATCACAATATTTATCACATATTTATAATATATCCTGTTTTATCTTTTCCAAAGAAGGAGTCTTTTTGCCAAAGAGACCTTACTTCACTAAGGTGAACTTCTTAACCATGATAAAAATTCTCATAATCTGTGGCTGTAGTAATGTCTGAAGTGTTCCTTTCAGAAAGAACTGGAAGATCACACAGACATTTCTGTTCAAGTCTGCAGTTTTTGCTCATGCTGCTTTGACTTTGTCTAGCATTTATTGTCAAGTAGAGCCTGATCCCATGATTTGTGTGGCCAGACGGGCCCCAGGAGTGTGCAGGATCAGGGTCTAATTTAGCAAAATATTTAAGTCCCTGGTGTTGGTTTTAGCGCAGGCTTAAAGCCATTGCATGGTGTGACATAAGCCATGGGTCTGCAGCCATTAATACCAGACTGATTCTGTATCACCCAGTCAGACATACTTGACCTTGGTAGGATGTGGGTACAGACAAATTTCTGTCAAATTACCCAAAATGCATGAAATGGCTTGTGTGTCACTCTTATGCCAACTTCAGGAGGGCACATGGTAGCTGATCCAGTGTAACATCTGGACAACAGGAATTATTATAAGATCAGTGTTTTGTGTTCGGTGGCTGTGGCACTTCCCAGATGTTGCAAGTAGCCCTACAACCAGATTTACTGGCTCTTTGAACCATGGCTTTAAAACTGTCTACTTAAACTTTCTCCAGAAGATTGGGTTGTCTTGGTTACAGCCCAATCCTTAAGCATATCCCCAAGGCTAATACTAATATTTTGTGAATATGATGGTTTTATTGTCACTTAGTTTAATTATAGCCTGAACTTTGCTTTTAAAAACAGGAAGCCACGCTCATTGCCTTAGTCTATCAGATAATGCACCTTTAATTCTGTTTTGGTGGTGTTTTTTTTAATATTTTAATTCTTAGATTTTTATCACAGCTGCGAAACACTTGGGTAATGACTTAAGCATAGAGGTGTGGTAGTGCTGAAGTGTTTATCATAGTGAACGCTACATAATACAGTTTATCCTGACAGCAGGAGCGAGACTTTTGTGAGACACAGGCCTTAAGTTCATTTTCTGCCTATCAGTAAAATGTGCCTGATAAGAATGAGAAAAAAAGTGTCTTTTAGAGAAATGGTGATTGTTGAAGAGAGTATGCAACAAGCCATACTGAAAGCTCTTTGGGCCTGTTGCGGTTGCTGCCTGGCCATGGTCATCCAAGCCTACTATAGGTTTGGTAAATGCTAGTTCCTTTTGATTTTGAGAAAGTCCAGCAAACAAGTGATAACAGGACCCAAGAGATGGTCCTTGAGAGAAATCCTGTCTTTGCTTTCCTTCAGCATCAGAGATAAATGCTAGACACCTGGTGCTTTAGCTGAATGGCTCAGAAAGGATTTGAGTTTATAATTGTTTCCTTTTGATATCTAGTTCCTGCAGTTGATTCATCATGTTGATTCGCTATTTGTTCATTGAGTTAGGTTGACTACACCTTGTATAAACTTCAGTACTATTAAGTCAGGGCTGTCAGAGAGAGATGTGCTGAAGAGACTCACTGTGCTGCAATTCCCATGAGAAAACACTAGTGATGGTAATCGAGGGCTTGTTGTCAAAAGATAGCAGGAATACTTAGTACTGTCTACAGGTTAGTACAGCGCAAAATAAGAGCGAGCTGCAAGAACACTATTTCCAGGCAGAGCTGGTTACAATTTTTACACTAAATTTTGTGATGTCAGAAAGGCCATTATTTTAAGTAAGAAATTCTCTAATTTTGCAATGTTATTCAAAACAAGTTTTGGTTTGGTTTGGGGGAAGAAAAGGGTTACTATGACAATTAAAACCATATTGAATTTTTATCTAAAAAAATTCAGAATTGTTAACAAATATTTTCATGTCTCAGAAAAAAATATGTCTTTTTTCTCAGCTTTATTTTGTAGTTCTTGGGTTTCTTCTGCTGGTAAATTAAAGTTCCTGTGACAATTTTGAAAACTTCTTTGGATAAAAATTCT